TAGCGTTCTTGCTCCTAGTAGTATGGCCAGGAGCCCCTGATAGCGTTCTTGCTCCCAGTAGTAAGGCCAGGAGCCCCTGATAGCGTTCTTGCTCCTAGTAGTACTGCCAGGAGCCCCTAGTTTGCAAAAGAACTACTGCAAATGTCATTAAATATTCTTTGGGGTGGCCAACAGTCCTGTCCTAGGGTACAGTTTCCTTCGCACCCGATGTGCGGTTCCCTTAGTTCCCTTATTATTGTAAGACTCCCGAGGGTTCGTGTTTTGGATCTTTGCTCTCCACATCGTCTATCCCCATGATCCGAAGGGGTGTGTAAAACGGGTTTCCGTTTTTTCTATCCTGCAACCTCGTGGTTGCTTTTTGGGGTCGGTGGTTCAACATACCTTTATTTAGGTCTGTGAACCACATAAACATCCGCAACCGAAATAAACGCCTTCGCTCACAAGTAAACGCCCTTAGCTTGTGCATAAACGCCCGTGGAATATCATTTAACAAAAATCAGAAAACTAGAGAAACATCCACAGACTCAAATATAAGGCTGTGACTCCAAAAGATGTTTTCACGCTGCAGAACGCCAAAAAAAAGAAACCGTTTGAGGAAGTTTCAGGTATATTATATATATATATATATGTGTGTGTGTATCACGAGACCATTTTTCTCCATGACCTCTTCAACTCCTGCGCCTCACCGTCGAGGACTGCGAGTGCTACGTGGGTTGCGCCTCGGGGAACTTCCGCGTGGACGGAGGTCGTGCGGAGAAGCCGGAGATGATCGGTGTGTGGTTGGCGAAGACATATCGTGTTGGTTCGTGTAAAACCACTGGGCCAACTTGCATTATTAAGACCTGTTGTTTCTCGGGGCACTTGGTCACCCAGAACTTCGAAAAGTGAAAACAGGGTCTGTCTGCAGGGTTGCAGGCCGTTGATTGTTTGCTCCATGTAGTAGACTGTACATCTATTTCAGAGTTCTCAGTCCATGGTTTGCTTCCTCCAACGTGTAGCTGCTTGACTGGGTGTTGTTCTTGTGGTTGAGCTGGTCGAGTCCAGCGCCTGATTTCGCAAAGGAGGGCTTGGTCATTACCGATTATACAGCGGCTTTTCAGGCTTTTCACATATTAGACAAGTATCATTGATCACATTAGAAATGTGACCTCAAGTATATACAACAATTCACATTTCTTGAGGTCACATCCACAACAAGTCACAGACCTGTGGGTTGTTCCGCTACGATGGGTACTCGCAGCGACCTCTCGGTGAACGGCGCGACGAGTGGTTCGCCCACCCCCCCCCAGTGCCTCGATGCGAAGCACTGGACGCGAAGTGCGTGAACTCGGTGGCGTGACTCGTGGCGCTGCCAGGTCAAGAAGGCTTCAAGCAGTGCACCGTCACCAATTCGGGGAACCAGCGGCCTCTGCTGGTTAGAGTTTGGAGTTCGGGGGATGTGAGGTGCTTGGTCATGCCAAACAGGCCCAGACTGGTGACCAGCCATCCCAAAGGAGGATGAGGATGCTTTTTTGCAGCTTGTCATGCTCCTTTTGGGAGAAAAGGTGATCATGATGATCCACGGAGTCTCAGAATGGCGTCAGAATGGCACAAGCTCCTGTTGTTCGAACATCATGACGACTTGTCTTTTCGGTGTAAATCGAGACACCAGCTAAATGACTGTAAACAATGTGCTTGAACGTGCTTGAACCCTTGCAATCCAGTTTCAAGGGCCACTTGAATTGGCAAAGATGGACCATTTATAACAACACTCGGTGAGGCAAGTTGTGGCCAGTTCTCAGCTCGGTGCCCTTGCGCCATTGCTTGTCTCACACTCCCTACGACGTTCTCAGTCTGTTTCTAAGTCGACGGCGCTGGTTTCCTCCCGGTGTCCTCCGATGTTTCCATCACTGCAAATCACGCAAACAATGGAAGTTGCACCAAGTTGCACCCCCTCCTGGAGCTCTTTCAGACGTCTCCCGGTGCTGGGAGTCAACTCCGCCAGGCACCTGAGCTTGCCCGTTTGTCGGCCCAAATGCGTCGCTCGGCACATGTGTGCTCACAAAGAGGAAGACGAGCTCTGTTTGATGCATGACATGGCTGGCAAAGTGGAAGCCGGGAATTGGATGAGGGAGTGGTTTCAAGAAGTTTGTTGGGCGGTTTGGATGAGGGAGATGGGATTTGAAGGAACATTGCTGGGTTGAACAGCTCTTTTTTTATCCTTTCTAAGGACGGAGTGTTGTTGTTTACAGAGAGTACAATGAGAGGACTTCAAGTTACCCATTCCCCAAGAAAGCCAGTGGATGATTGCTAGTGGCACTGGCATGTTTTTCCCACAAACAGGAATAAGTATGTTTGGCCGATTGACAGCTGAATCACCAATTCACTAGAACCCAACCATTCGAAGGACCGAACCACCCCCAAAATATCCCAAAATAAGGTCTTTTCCTACCGCAACAGGGGTCGACCTCCACACCCGCCTGAACAGACCGTCGACCCGAGGTGAAACCTGAAAACCAGTTTGGAACCTTAAACACGTCCGGGGACCACAGACCTGTCGCGATGGCGCCAGTGAGACCTGGCGCCAGTCGTTCGGTCCTTCGTTCTTTTTGCATCAGTTTGGTGTGCAAAAGTATGTGTTGATCGTCATTGGTTTGTTGAAAGAAATGAAAGCAATGAGTCTTGAGCTAGGGGAAGTGAGTGCGTTGGAATTTCTTTGCAAAAGAGTCCCAGCAAGAAGCACCGTGTGAATCAGTTTATTATGTTTGTTTTGTCACTTGCCGTCCTGGGTCGTCTTGGGTTGCTGTTCAAAGAGATACGGATTGCACTGTAGGGGGTGACAATGTAATAAACTGTTCTTCATGACAAGATATGCTGTTTCTCCAAATACGCTGTGCAAAAGCTTCTGAGCGTTCTTTGGCGTCTCTGAGTTCTTAAAAACTGTAACACCTAGGTGTTGAGGAATCTCTCGCGTCAACATCATATTGTTGAGTCATTTCCAGAGCAGAGTTTTGAGTTTTTGTGGTGTCCAATCAAAGAAAACAAAAAAACAGACTCAAAGGAGTACACCAGAACGCCAGATTTGCATCAGTCACTCAAAGGGAACACCTCGAGAGGATGTCAATTTAAATGTGAAGCTATATAGTTCAGATGTGGGCTGGACGTTTGATATCCCAGACACTCTTTGTATGCTGTATGCATATATATATAATATATTCCGCACCATTGACCACTTTTGAACCACCCCTGGCCTGATCGACATCTATGCCAGTCCCATGGTTTGGGGCTTCACTGAGGAATAAGTGCGCCAGGCAGCGTGGGACAGCATGGGACAGAACGAAACTTGCTTCAGAGAAGTGCGGGGATGCCATACAGCCATCCTTTTCTTGTTCGGAGCGCCACAAAGCACAAGAGTTGGGAAGTGTTTGAATGCGGCTTGTAGGCCCGTGGTTGATGTGTGTGTGTGTTTTCTCGATGCCACTGGTTTCTGATGTGGTGCAGCGAATGTTCTTTAGGCTTTTGAAGGGTTCTTGGGATTATACTATACTTGTATATCATGGTTGATGCGCAAGATCCAAAACTATTAGACCATCCATCCTAAGATACATGAAAGCCCTACTGCACCCTAGAGTGCCTGTGGGGTTGAGGAGGTTTGCCAATCTTTTATGAATCAGAGATGTTTGGAACATGTCTTGAAAATACATACCTGGCCAGGAGTGGTTGATTCTTTGGCGAGGCTTGGTATATACAGGGCAGGATGCTATGGCTATCCCTTCGAACTGGCAAACTAATTTAGCAAACAATGCATATTGAACAATTGTGGTCCTCTACCATGTATGTACAGTAAATGTTGCTGGGATCACTTATCGCCAGGACCACTCTGAAATCTGCGACACGAGTCCGCGCAGCGCACCATGGCCACATCGTTTTCGCCGCCAGTTGCATTGTCGGCAAGAAGTGCGAGTGCGAGCTGAGCTGCTTCTTCGGTTCCAGACGGGGACACCCAGAGGTTTTGGGGAAACGAACGATGCAAAGAAGCGAAGACGGAGATGGAGATGGTGAACACATGAGTTACTTGTAGCTACTCTTGAGAGAGTACAAGGAGTTCATGGTGATGACTTTAAAGAGTTTACTGTGGACCGTGGCTCTTTTCTTCATACCTCACGGAGGAAGCACGTTATCATCAAAGCACAACACAACTACCGAAATCCATGTAGTTCATGTGATTTAAAAGAGCACCTTAGATCCATGAGCTGGGAAGTGACTTTGTGATGGGACCCCCCATCCTACCTCCCTTTTTGCTGATGAACTGAAGCACCACTCCACCAGCCACGGTGGATCCCTTGCGACTTCGCACTTCCCCAGGTTCAAGTGGTGCTCAGAACGGTCAAAAGACCTGTGCCTTTGTCAAGGGGTCATCTCCTCGGTGCAGATCTGAGGGTCGAAGGCGGCCGGGTTCGAAGAAGTGGTTGTTCGGTCGTTTTCTTCACTCCCATCGATATAACTAGTAGCTAGAAGCTACTAGGTTGGAGGCCATCCCCTTTCCGGTTGGAGGCCATTACTACTCGGAACAAGAAGCTATCAAACGGATGTTGGTCCAAATGTCTCTTTGTTTAGTCCAGGTCTTCTTTGCGATTTCAGGTTTTACATCAAACGCTCTGCTTGGCTTGTGCGTTTCCTGTATATATATATATATATACATATTATTCGTGAATTGGTTCACCCCTTTTGGTTTTGCCCCATCCTTTTGTCCCGCTGCCAGTATCAATTGTATGCTTCTCCTACTCCTAACCCCATTAAGCTCCAAAAAGCGTGCAGGTCGGCCTGCAGTATTTAGAAGCTGCTCGGGCAATAGCTTGCGCCAGTGGCTGGAAAGCCTTCATCGAAGGTATAGCTGGATACTAATAGGTTTGCAGGGTATATACCGGTCTTCCAACTAAAAATGAAAGTCTACGACTGCCTTTGTGCAATTGTCCTTGATAGAGGGGGTCCACATGTATTCACTTGTCACTTGCTAAGTGAGACAACTTGAAGTGTGCCCAACTGCCGTAGCGGTCTATTAGACGATTAAAACCCATGACATCAAGATGGAAAAGAACCAGGTAGAGGACAATGGTCTTGCCAAGGGCCAATTTCCACTTCCATTAGGGAGTCAGAGTGTAAGCCAGTGTAAGCCGTGACACATACTCACACGCTCGGGAAAACACACCTTTTGCTCGGCGACTAAGGGATGAAAATACGCCAGCTGCAGCTCAGTGGGTGGATGCCTCAGTGGTCTCAGTGTGACATCTACTCAATGTTCCTGGACTTCAACCATCTCCGGCCTTATTCAAAACAGGTGGATTCAGATGTCCCATGGATCCCATGGATGTGGAACATCTCCAACAAATAAAGCTCGCTTTCTTCAACCGGTCCCAGACCCCGGTGATTTACACTTAAGAAGGATCTTTGAGGTACCGAGCCTTCAAGAGTGGCGAGCCATCCCGAGCCGGTTCCTCGGTTCCCACGCCGGGAGTGGGAGGAACCATCCGGAGGGGGTCTGAGCCGAGTGGCCATGGAACCATCAAAAGTAGTATTGAACATGTTCCTATCAGGAGTTATGTGTGGGTCTTATATGTGTTTCGGTCCAAAATGATCGACAAGGCGCCCTCCCCAACTCTCACAAAGGTGAATCCTATTGGGTCGATTTGTTTAGACCAAAGGGGTCCTATTCTCGCCGCATTTGGCTCGATGGTCTTCGCCTCCGTCTCGCCACCCGTCACCCATCGGGGCCGAAGACCTCAGTCGCCACACGTCGTTTGCCACAGTCGTTCCGCGGTGATGTCGACACGAAGAATGCGATGTCGTCGAGTGCCTTGAAGCCGTTCAACTCGATGGGCGCGAAGGGCGTGAGCTTGGACTCGTCGAAGGGTGAACGAACGTGCTTTTTTCCTGGTCGAAGGCCGAGTGTTTTGGTCCAGTTTTGGAAGGAAGAACTGGAAGAACGAAGGCATGAACTCACGAATGACCGATGAACTTGTCAACAAGAAGACCATCTCACGAAACCAGTGATTTCTTGTGCTCCTTTGATTGATTGGTCGGATTCTTGATCCTTTGATGTTCATGTTCGGAGCCGCTGAAGGTTTAACACCCAGTAACTGTCACTGCTCAAATCTTTAATAGACTATATAGACTGCTCAGAGGATCGTTTCTTCGGTCTGACATCGGTGTGACAGCAATGGGACACTCAGATGGTGACAGCTCGTGGGAGATCTGACGTCGACTGTCGTCGGAGATCTGACGTCGATCTCGAGGTGCTGGAGCCTTTCATGCCCATAGCTTTCTTGGCTCTTGGTGTACACGGAAGCAGGGTGGAAGTGAGGGAGGTGAGATCAAACATCTCTAATCCTATTGATGCACTTTGGGAATTTGAGCTATCGGGCTCATGGGACACTTGGACGAAAAACCTCGGGTTGAGTGCCTGCTCAGCTTTTCTATGTCATTTTGTTGAAAGGTTCCACAATGCTTTTAGTTGATGTGAATACTTCCATTTTTGCCATCCCTTCAAAGGGTGTGTGTTCTTGCTGGGCTTTGCACAAAAAGGCTAGGATAGGAATAGATTTAAACTTGCTGTTCAGCCACATCAGGACCCCTTTTCTTCCTTTTCTCCCTTTCGCATGCCACATTCAGGATATTCCTGCAAGCATCCAAGATGACCGCATCTCAACCGTCTCGGACAGACTCAGTGAGGATGGGATGTTCAAAATCTACAAGCTACAAGTGAAGACCGAATTTGTGCCTCACTTCACCACAGATTTGCAGACGAACCTGGAAGCCATTCCTGATCCCGTTGAGCGGACCAGGCCAAAGGCCATGATCCTATCCAATGGCCAGGAGTAATTGGTCTGAACTGTGCGAATTTATAGTTATTTATGTCTATTTATATCTTGTTTGCATTTTGAAACCAGCCTACGCATTTGTTCAAACCCCACCCCCGCAGAGTTCACACTTGATTTCTGTGAATGAGGACCCTACCCATTAGGCACAGCAAATTTACAGACTTCTACTTTGTGAGCATCCAGCATCTAACAGAAAAAGGGTGGTTACAGCCTGGCGGTTTTTGGGGCTAGATAGGATGGGTAGAACACCATCACCGTGTTCCAATTGGACGTCAATAGGCGGACCTCACGTTCTGGACTCGGTCCTGAGACTCGGCCGAGTTCGTCCATGCGGTTCCGTCTCGTCGTCCGACCGTTTTGACCTTGGGCACCTCGGAGGTTGGATAACCACCTGATAAGAGGTTTGGCAGGCTGTTATTTGTTGCCAATGAATAAGAGAACTGGTGCTGCATTGCAGATGGTTTTTTGAGAAAAACACACCGCTGCGGCTCCAACCTGGTGCCACAGCGAAGGTACATGGACCTTGGCTTGGAGGGCGATGGCTGGTTCCACCACGCGGGTATTCTGAAGCCCTCGGTGCTGACGGTGGCCACAGAGGGCAAAAGCTTTCGCGAACTCCTGACGAAAGTACTGCAAAGGGCGACCCTGAATTTGATAGCAAAGGGCGGGCGGCGTTTCTGTTTGGATCGCAGCATGTTGTTGAAATCATGAGTTCGTTGGGAAGAGTATGGAAATTGTCAGAGCTTTCTTGAGTCAAGTATTGCACATTTGTCAACGGACATTACAGTATCATTCAACATCATTACATATTCATACATGACAGATTACAAAGATCACCAAGTCACATTGCACCTCACTGCAACAAAGCAAACATCCAACTCATCTCAGCAGCGACAGCTGCCATGCCAATTGAATATAATTGTTTAGACATGTATAGACGTAAGGTTTGCATTGCAATTTGATTGTTGCACCATGAAGGTGTCAATATCAGACTCCAGGGTGGCTAGGCCTCTTTAGGTCTAGGCTTGTTTATGAATATGTAGTATTGGCGAATACTGATGAATATTGAATATGTGCCTGTTTTCCCAATGCATACTTTAGTTTGGTGGCTTTACTATACTAATATTGCTGTCCATTCTATCCAGCACCATCATTTTTTCAGCATGAATGCTTTTGAAGACGTGTCAAACGAACCAGAGAGATGCATTCACGTGATCATTGAAACAAATTTATGACTATTTTACCTCCTTTGGGTCATTTTTCTCAAAGTTTCCACGCGAGCAGATGTGATTTGTTGCTTGCTGAGATCATAGACATAGTGTGGGTGTGATGTTTGTTGCTATGCTTTGTGGCCCGTAATCATCGCAGCACAGATTTTGCGAGCCCCTTCAAAGAAAAGGCATATAGAATATTATAAAAGCAATGTGTTCGCTCTGCCAGATGCCAGGTGTTAGGTGGTCATTCCAAGTCATATTCAGACAGATTTACAGTTCTTGTATTGAAGGTTGGTGTTTTCAGTGGCAGAAGCAGTAAGCAATTTAACGACATTCAATCCATGTCTGGAAAAAAGCTTTTCAGCCAACAGACTTCCTTTTCCTGTGACCGATTTGGCTTGGACACGTGACCTGCCTGTCTCTCGACTTGTATCCGTTTCGTTTGTCCAGCCTATCTAATCTACGTTCTCTTAGGGGGTCCAACCACAGTAGTACAATCAATCTTCCTCGACCGAACGTGATACCGTACGCGTGCATGCTTACTGTTCATCCGTTGGGCCGAAGAGAACGAACGGGCCATTCGTAGGTGGAATCCGAGTGGGGGAAGATGTGTTGTCCACCTCTGATGAGGTGAAACCAGTGGTGAAACCATCCAAGATCCAGAAAACCGGTCCACCGGGTCTGTACGACTTGGTCCACCTGGTCTCAGGTGTGAACCTGGTCTCAGGTTCAGGTTCTGGAGTTCCCCCTGAAGAACTCCATCCGCAGACTTGGTCAAAGGATGTCGCACAGTAGTGCTGTGTAATTTGAAGAATCAGGCGATGAGATCTGTGAAGAAGAAGGTCGGACCAGATTGGACCACCGTTGTCGAGGATGGTGTCTTTCACATCGGAGCCCACTACAAAGGCTCTTTCTTGGCCAAAGCTGACCTGAAATATTCAAAGGCTGTCGAATAGGAAGCTAAATATAACAAGCAAAATGAGTCTCTAGATCAACTTCTTCACTATTTCAGATTTTGATTGTCCAGACATTCGATTCATGTTCGGCTCGAACCAAGAACGTTGAGATGTTGTTTCCTAGGTCAAATTGACCTTCGGTTGTTTGGCAACCTCAGGCGGAGCTAAAGACACTTTGCCGCAGAACCACTACCACTTGATGTCCCCGGCTCCCATCACAGAGGACCAGGTGAAGCAGATTCGAGACATTTTGCAAGCTTGGCATCTTGGACCGGGAAAAATGCCGAAGAAGTCATAGGCTCCAAGCGCCAAACTCGATCCAATGCCAAGCGCACTTGGAAGGCTTGGCAGCTTGGCACCAAGCGCCAAACAGGCCAATGCGCCCAGCTGCACAGTGCACGTTGCGCCTACCTCAAAGGCTCCAAAAAAGCTGCATCAGTCAACTCAACAATTGGATCAGACCGTTCGGACTGGAATAGTTAAGTGTGTTTACCTCATGAAAACTTCCCTAAGGTGAGTAAGTATTCCATACTGGATAGTTTGGTATTGATTGGTCAAAAGCTCCACCATGTGGATAACAGGAATCGTTGTTTTGGATCCCGTGCAAGGCCTTCCAGAGAGCAGACGCTTTAATTGTTCATGGGTATACGCCTGTTTTATTGTACGGTGGTTTGTGAAGCGAAGACATGCTAGATCATGCTAGGATCTAACCAGTTGGCCAGGTGGTGTATATATTCAGTTGGACACGCTATTAATTGTTCATGGGTTTATGCAAAAAGTCTTCACAAACTGAGAGAAGCGCGCCGTACCTGGCAATATGTGGGTGAACTATGGTAAAGTATGGCGACTGAGCAAGCTGACAGAGGAGGCTAACAACAATGTTCACTGTAATAATAACAATCCAGCACCCAGACTGTACCCTTTTGGTTCTCAAAGCGTGATGTTGAGATTGAAAACATGTGCGTGCTTCGTATTGTTATAAGCAATGAAGTTCAATGTATATAATATCTTCAGCATCTCCTCTTTGAATGGCAAATAAGAAACAGATGTCTCTTTCGCTTTCCAGAGAAATCCTGCTTGCAGTGGTTTCACAGTAGATGGCACTGGCACCCCAAGATGTGTTTTAGATGGGGGTGCAGTAGGAAACCACCACCAAACTTGGGATCTGTGCCATCTACTCTCAATTCCCCATAAATTCAGTTGGTTTCAAGTCTCCCGTTTTGAGCTGTTTTGAGTCGTCCACACCGCTCCAGTCGTCGTTCGGCTGAGGAGCCAGTGGAGGGTGCCACTGAGGAGAACCCTGCCGGCGTGTGGGGAGCTCGGTGAGCTCGGTGAGCGAAGAGAAGCGGAGGGGTCGTCCAGTTCGCCTTGGCGTACTGTGGGAGTGTTTTCCATCAGCGGTCGCTGGCTGACGTAAGATGTTTTCTAAGAAAAGGATCTGCGAGTCGAGTCAAAATGGCGGAAACCAATGTCGAGGAAAGCTGCTTTCTGGAACGGTCGAGTCAAACACGCGGAAAACGTCGTCTCGTGACAGTCAGCGTCGGGAGTCGGGTTTCAGAAGGGGCGAATGAGCAAAATGTTGAGTAAACGACTGGAAGGAAAGAAAAGATTGCAAGATGTCATTCAGAGTAGTGAGTAGTGTTCACAATCCAAGATTCAGAATGAATGATTCGCCTTTGTTTTTGCCAACCAGTACTGTAGGAAGCATCCCCTTCCTAGATCGTTCCCATCACAAGAGCCTCACTGTATGGGTCGTGCTATTCACTCTTATAGCAAATGCATTTAATCATTCAATACTTGGGTGTCATTTGTGGTAGAGACAAAGGCTGACACGCCAAACAAGTAAGTGGACAAAGGATGTCAATCCAAGAAAACATGCACCCCAGTCCAAAGGTGTTCAATTGCTTTCTTGTGTGCCCAGGCCACAATGCTTGCCTCCCATCATCATCAAGGCTTGTGAACTCGGTACACTGGATACAACGCAGTTGCTTTGAGAAGGTATACCGTATACCGGAACGCACAGGAACTATCAGCATTGCACAGAGATTGAATTTTGACCTGGTTATTGATTCTTGAATATTTAGAACTCCGCCCCGGTCAGTATGTATTCGAGTCTCATGTATAGTAATTATAGTGTATACTATTGTATACTGATGAATCTGAGGAACAATATAAAGACACATGAGGAGAAATAAATATTTTCCTTCAACTGGCACGTGTCCTTTGTGATCCTCTATCCCGAGTTGTGAATCTGGCATAGCACAATCGTCACATGCCTTCGGTTCCTCGGTGTTGCATGAAAAACCATGAAACACCGCCCAAACCAACGTCGCACGACGTCGTCTCGCACGACGTCTGTCTCCACGAGTCGTTCGTGACGTCTCGCCCCACACGAGTCGTTCGTGACCGTTCGACTCCAAAGGTGGACGATGCCCGGAGCAAGAAGGCGCCAGAAAAGGGGCGAAAGGAATTTGGTTGGAACCGGCTTGGTCCAATCGTGTAAGGCGTGATGTTTCTGGGGTTCTCAGGAGGTTGTAGGGTCACTTAATTCAAAGTCAGGTGTCAGTTGTCTACTGGTACTAGAATCCACTAGATTCAGGAGGGATGGTTAAATGTTCGTGGACTGGCTTACCAAATCGGTCAAAATGTATCGGGTGCACCTGTACAACGCATTCACCGGTCGCTGGTCACAGGTCGAAGGGATGATGGTGTCACGCGTAATGCTTTGGGAACTTGGGCCGATTTGCTACTGAAGGCAGCGACTTGGTGTTCAGGATTGGAACATGGAAGATGTCCAGCGCAGAGTGGAAGTGACATGCACAGATTGTAACAACATGCACTTTTCGCCCGCAATGTGGCATCACTTCTTCAGGTGTCGCTGCAGGTCTTCTGCGACAGATCAAAATAGCTGCGTGCAGCACGCGCAACAAGAGCAGCCAGACCGACCAGCCCCGCCCACCTTGGTCCCTGTCTCCTTGGTCGGTGTGTTTGGAGACTTTGCAGTGGAAGCAGATGCAGAAAAACCCTGTCAGCCTCATGCAAAGCCAATGGCTTTGCATCCAATCTCCTACTCACAGGGCTACATGAATCTTATATAATCTCATTGTATCTCATTGTCATTGAACTCCTTCTTGCTATTTGACGATGGACAAACTTTGAGATTGCGGTGCCAACGTTTCCTCTGAGCTTCATCTGGCTGACAGCCTGGCAAAGCCTGAGGCTGACAAACTGTTGGCTGATCTTGCTCCTGCTCAACTGAACCAGTTTGTAAATGGCCAATACCATTGGGTTCAGTGAGGGCCCATGAAATTCCTTGCTTCGGAAACAATAAAGTCAGTATCAGGTGAGGCTTTTCAAGTAAGGGATCCATATTGTAGTGTTGCAAGATCAGGAAACCAAACCAGCCAGCTTCGCTGCTCAGTACCGAAGAGACCATTGCAAGCTGGGATTTGAAAGTTTTTGAGAAACTTGGGAAGTTAAATCTCCCGTAAGTCTAGTGTAATTCGCAGGACTCAGGTTTTGGACGGCATTGAATCTTGAAGAAAAGAATCGAGAATAGTTAGGACTTGAGTTTTGCCACTTTTCTGCTACGATTGTTAAAGGGTTGAGGTCTTGAGGCAAGCCAAAACATCCTGGAGAGCAACCCACTCAAAAACACACCTTGCAAAGGTTTGGGCACAAGTCTCTATATTTGTGTGGGTTTTGTAGGCCATGCCGCAGGTCGCAAGGGAAACGGGAAGGCTCCATTTTCCTCTTCACCGCCTCTCAAGTTTTTGAAGTGGGTTGTAGAATGAGTATGTTCTGGAATTGTTTCATGCTGAAAAGACGACTTGCTTGTGCGTGGTCCATTCTTTCACCATCCCTATATTGTTCAGAATCTTGGATCCTGATCCAGATGATGTTTCAAACCCTCGGCATTTAATGAAAATCCGGCTGAAATTTTTGCCACCATGCTCAAATAGAGGCAATGCCTTCGTAGGATTTGAGGACCAAAAAAGGATGTCGCTCCTTGGACATAAAATCATTGACTGTCAGTATTTGTTACTACTAGTAAGGCACCTGTTACTACTAGCGTGGCACCTGTTACTACTAGTGTCAGTATTTGTTGAGTCAAGGGAATGACTTGTAACCTAAGTCCTGACGTAGTAGTCGTCAATGACATGAATGCCTTGCCTTGCATTCATGCCTGGCACCCGTAGAACGATGTCATGACTATACTGACCCGAAACACCTTCGACCTGTTTCGACCTGTATCAAAGCCGACGACCGGACCTAAAGACCAACGCACAGTAGCCCCACTGCAGTCAAAAGTGACTCCCGGTTCCCACGAAACGTTCTGGTGCTTGGAAGGCTGGCCCAATCCGGCCAGGAAGGCTATGTTAGTCAAGAATTTGCTGGGAAAAACACGTGTAAAGAAATTAAGCAAGGGCAGGATGTTCTACCAGGTTAAGTTTAGGCCATCCCTCCCTCGATGAAACCGCATCCAGAAACCAACCGCGACACCACGCTGCGCAGCCTTTGCCGGGTGTCACGATCACCATCACGGTGCCTTACAACACCGGCAGCTCTGCGTCGGGGAGCTGGGTCTTCTGCGGCAGGATCATGTAGACGGGTATACCCACAATTGGTTCCATCATATTGGTTCTAATTGTGTTGTGTTTGTGTGTGTGTGTGTCCACCCCTGGACAAAGGGTTTTCCACCGCCACCTCCTTCACCGATTTTCCACGAACTTTCACATGCAGGGGGATCAGGCTTCCAGCGACTAACCTGATCCAACGAAGCTGGGTCGCTGGAAGGGAAGTGGTTGAGGACGCTCAACCATGTACCTGCGAAGTTTTCCACAAGCTGTCACCCTACTTTTCCACGGTTTGATTCATGGTCCTTCTTCATGCTACGTTCCCCCAAACAACGGATTTTTCCACTGCACTTTTCAGCCGAACGTGATTTGCAGCCAGCCGCCAACTGCAGACTTGCAACTGAGGAAACATGTTTAAACAATACTGTTTTGACCGACTCATGCGCCTTGCCGTTCCCTCACCTTTTCCCAACGTGGTAACTGAGTCACTGAATACAAGTGTCAGAGTGTGTTTCGCTC